ATGTTATATATATATATATATATATATATGAGACGAATAAACATTTTTCATAGAACAAATAAAGGATCCATAATGGTATAAAACAAAGAAATTGTACCGACAGATAAAGTTGAGCTAAAAATGACAAAAAAAAAAAAAAAAAAAAAAAAGAAAGACAAAGAATAGCTATTAAAAGGTGATTTGACAAATGATATGGGGCCAAAAAATAAACAATTTAAGGATCTCGTTTATCACAATATTTTTTATCCACCGACTAATCATCATCATCTTCCTCAAATCCAGAATAGTCATCTTCATCGTTTGGGTCATCATCATTACCTTTCTTGTAATGGTCATCATAAACATATATCAGTTCCTTAGCGTTACTTACTACTGAATCTTCAGATTCCTAGTCATTCTCACATTATTCACTTTCAAATGTGTGCCGCTTCTTTCTATTATTTTGCTCATAATTGAATTAGTTTTACACACCTTCACGTGCTAAATAAATAATGCTTTGCCAAAAGAAAAAGAATAAATAATGTTTTGCCAAAAGAAAAAGAAAAAACATTTCTTTATAATGTCACCAAACTGAGAGAACATACCTTGTCCAAATGTTCCAATGCTTCACAATTAGTTTTTGAACTAGGAGACTACAAAAAAATGGTCAGATTCATATAATCATATGATAAAGAGAAACAAAATTATAGAAAATGAGCAATAACATATGATCAGCATAGGAAAAAAAAATGAATTATTGCTATATTGAAACAAATTTTAGAAAAAAAAAAGATATTAACATTATAATAATATCAGCATAAAACTCAATGCAACTACTAAATATTACTTCATCTTAATATTGAATCTAAATAACCCATTTAACTCAAAATTCTAGCATTCTTGGGATTGATTTTTAAGAAAGCAGAAAAAAATAATTGATTTTGTACTTTTGAGATATGTATGCCCTCATTTGAGCCATTTGTATTCTTAGGGTCCGCTTGGGGCAGCTTATTTGGTGCGGTGGCTTTTTGAAAACGCACCTGACCTATTTCGATAAACTGCGTTTTGACAGCTTATGTATTTTGAAAATGCTGAAAACAACGTTTTCAGACCGCATCTATCTAGGTGTGGTGGTAGTTTTCTGGCAACGGTTTGACTTTTCCAAAAAAAATAAAAATTTGTAATAGTCACTGCACATAACTTATCAGCAGGTTATTACTTATTAGCAGATTATTTTTAATCAGCTCAGCTTATCAGCAGATTATTCAATAAGCTGCAACTGCCCCAAACAAGCTTTTATAATGTCTGGGATATTTTAGTCATGAACTTTCATTGGCGTAAAACATTATATTTTTATACTCCATCCAAGCACAAGAAAGCTCTCGATTAAAAATAATCAAGTTTTACGATTAAAATTTTCTATGTATTTTCATAAAAAAAAAGTACATATTTTGTCCATTTCTTTATGTTTGACAAGCTTTTATAATGTCTGGGATATTTTAGTAATTTCAAAATGGTGAGGGGGAGTTTTCACAAAATTTTCAATTCAATTACAATTATTCACTAATATGATAAAAATATCAGGCGATTAGCCGTCACAGCATCATCATAATATGTTTGGCAAAATAAATGAACCTAACTTGTGTCAGAATTTGAGCGGACCATAAATCCAATGAGGCCAAGAAATATTGTGCTTGCTTTTGAACTTTGCAAATATGTGATAATGTGAGTAGGCCAATGATACGATGTGAGCTACACTAGGACACAAATAAGTTTCATAGAACACGGTTGCCCATAAAGAAAGACAAAGAAGTTCTTTGATAATTGGCAGTGACATGAAACGAGATGCATTAGGAACCCACATCAAATCTGAAAAATTTAGTCAATATCAATTCAAGCTTAGCATAGAAGACTATTTCATAATTTTGGTTAGACTTATTTTGAATGAGTCTCTAAATTATTATTTTCTTAAAAAAATGGATTTAAGTTTAAAATTTTAATTAATTGCTCCTGTATTGCTATTTTTAGTAATAAATAATTAGTATTTTCTTTGACAAATTTTTTTTTTAATGTTGATTTAAAATATTTAAAAAATTATGTAATATGAATGGCTGAAATGATTTGTGGCAATAGCTTTAAATTGATTTTGTAGGTGTGATTTTTTTTTAACGTTTAGGTGAATTTAATAGCAAATATATACACATGGAATATGTAAGATTTTATACTGGGAATATCGGTGAATACAATAGAGTTGATTAAATATCGCAAAAAAAAAAAAAAAATTTACATACATATCACTCGTCAATTTCTATTTAATTACACATCTAACACCTGGACTTCAATTTTTACAAATTTGACAATTATCTATGCATGAAAGTTGTATTTAATATTTAATTTTTTAAAAAATATTTAAAACTGATACATTTGTATGTGATAATGGTGGTTGTGTTTGGGTTGATGAGATTTCTTGCGGGAACAGCTAAGGGCCTGTCTGGTATCTATTTTAGGGCAGGATGAAGTCAATCAACTTACAAAGACAACAAGACAATTCAATCATGGGACTCGATGGTATAGTTTGCCCAAATAGTATGCTCGACCTCCACAACACGACCCTGATTTCTCAATGAACTATGAAAAAGGTTCAATTAACCAAGAAGATCAACTCACCTGTGATCGAGCTCGCTAACATGAGCATTACCATAAATGAAATTTGATTAATAAATATTATAAAAAACAATTATTAGGATAGACCAACAAATTTTGATCATCCAGCACAAATCACGTGGCAACACCGAATCTAGAGCTAATCTTTTGAGCAAGAAACTTTCAAACTTCCATAAAGAGTCACCCAAAGTTCCGATTTCAATAAAAATTATAGTCAAGCTGACAGGCTCGATGATATGAACCCAATGATATCAAAATTAGTCCAATCCAAATCAAATCAAGTTTAGATCAAGTCATTAAACTACCCTTAAAAGATTTTCAAACATATTTAGAAGGTCAAACAAATGTCAAACTTGCAAGCCTATAGTCGAATTAAGCGTCTCGACAAGACGAATCTAGCAAGCCCAAAATTTCTCAATTCTGACATCGTTAATGCACTCAAATGTCAATCAAATGTTGTTTGATCGAAAGAAGCTCGACGGACCATCTGATAAAAGTGTTTCATATTTCTACATTAATTGCACTTACAACACTTTAAATAGAGTCCCACCCTTCTCATGAGGGGGAAGGGAGCTTGAGTCTTGAGAAAGAGCTTGAAGCTTTGAAAACGTGCTAAAGTCTAGTGTCACTTCGTTACTGATCACCAGTCGCTGCCCGTTATTGGCCACCACTAGTCAGCCGCAGATGATCACCATCGACCACCACCACTTCTTGCTACGAAGCACCGTGCAAAACGAAAACTGACATCATAGAATCTTGAAGCAACATGCAAGGCGACACATCATCCCGAACACCAAGATGCACCCCCAAAAACGATGCAACAATGCATCTTGAAGATGGTGTAATGAGGCAACCTGCATATGCTCATGCAACACCGTACTCTGGCCCCTGAGGCCCACATATGTCATGGCAGCTCACCGATACAGTCCACGTGTCAACAACAACCTATGTGGTCACCAGTTGCTACATCTCCCAATTTCGGACCTCGTAGTTTATGGACGTCACTACTACTCACCACTAAGGCCCACGTAACCAACTACGACCCACGTGGTCATCGGCTCATGCTGCTCCCGACTTTTGCCTCCGTGACCAACGAACATCATTATGACTTGTCACTTTGGCTTATGTGACCAACAACGACATATGTGTTTCACCGCTTGTGTATGTGTAGACTCTGGCCCCCACAGACAACAAAAGTCATTAGTACTCGCCACTAATGTATATGTGGTCCACAACTCCCGCAACTGCTTAACTGGTCGTGAATAGAGGAAAGTAATAATTGTTTAGAATCTCAAGTTCTGCTTGTTGTAGTTTGTTAAAATCAAAGTTTGATCTTCTGTTAAATAAATATGTTAATAATAAAATTAAGTGAAATTACATAGATGCCACATAATTCTTAGGCATTTACAAATATAACGAATAACGAATAAAATTTAATAATAAAATTTAAGTCAAATAATGCAAGATATTTGATGAATGGTGGGAGAAATTAAGACTGTTAGTGGATACCATTTCTCTTGATATCTTGCCGAGGAGAAATTCAAACTCCCAACACACACACACATAAATAATTTGATTATTTTTGCAAAGAGGAAAGATTCAAATGGCATATAGCAAATTGCTCCCCCAATCTCATTGTTTTAATGAAATTTTTTACATTGTCACTTTTTAGGCAACGAACAAAATGCCTTGCTAGAGAGATTATAAACACACTGACAATTATACTTTCTGAGAAGAAAATCAGAAATTACATATCTATTAGCAACATATTTCTTGAGAGCGATAGTTATCAGACCTACTAAGCCAGCATATGTGTTCACATGAAACATTGCATATGACTAGAAAAATAAAATGGAAAATGAATATCTTAGCTATACTAAAAAAATTTTGTAACAAATAATTTATGAAAATCCACAATATCTCCATTTGAAACTACAACAATGCTTGGATAATTATAAAATAAAATAAAATGTCATGAGTTTTAATATAATAACCATCCAAAATATTATATATATATATATAGATCTACTATCCCTCCCAATGCTTTGTAAGCTTTTCCAATATTAACGCGTAAGGACACATGAGCTGCGCTTCATTATATATATATATATATATAGCTATGAGACAAACAAACATTTTTCATAGAACTAATAAAGGATCCATAATGGCATAAAAAATAGAAATTGTACCTCACGTCTAAAGTTGAGCTAAAAGTGATAACAAAAAAGAATAACAGAACTACAAAGAGTAGCTATTAAAAAGTGATTCGCCAGATGATATGGGGCCAGAAAATAAAGATTTTAAGGATCTCATTTATCATAATGTTTCTTATCCAGCGACTCATCATCATCATCTTCCTCAAATCCAGAATAGTCATTTTCATTGCTGGAATCATCCTCATTACTTTCCTTATAATTGTCATCATCAACATTTATTAGTTCCTTGACTTTACTTGCTACCGAATCTTCAGATTCCTCGTCAGTCTCACATTCTTCATTTTCAGATGTGCGCTGCTTCTTTGTATTATCTTGCTCATAATCGAATAACTGAATCATCAAAATTTGTGCACAAGAAAATTAGTTCATTATTTGTACATAGCACCCTGTTGAGTATTTAATCGTTAAACTATTTAATTATACAACAAATGTAATTATCAGGAATATCAATAGCTAAAAATACAATTTTGTTAGAAAAAATCTTGACTATGAGTATTTAGTTGTGAACCCTTCATGTGCTAAATAAAATTATACTTTGTAAAAAGAAAAAGAAAAACATTGCTTTATAATGTCAACAAACTAAGAGAACAAACCTTGTCCAAACATGCCAGTCCTTCGCAATTGATTTCTGAACTAGCAATATATAAAAAAAACATACATTTTTTTGTTCATTCCTTATGTTTGACAAGCTTTTATAATGTCTGAGATATTTTAGTAATCTCAAAAATGATGAGGTGAGTTTTCACAAAATTTTCAATCCAATTACATATTTCAGGCGATTAGCATTCGCCACATCATCATAATAGGTTTGACAAAATAAATGAACCTAACTTTAGGTCAGAATCTGATTGGGCCATAAATCTGATGAGAACTATAAGTATTTGCTTGTTTTTTGAACTTTGCAAATATGTGATAATGTGAGTAGGCCAATGATACGATGCAGGTAGAACTACATAAGGTCACAAACAAGTTTCATAGAACATGGTCGCCCACTTCAACAAGAGTTCTTGAATCTTATCAAGCTGCCATCTCTTAAGAATTAACATGACTAGTAGTAAGACATTAGCGGACCCACAATACAACACTAATAACTAATAAAGCAACAAAAAAAAATCTCACCGTTTCAAGTCCACGGTAAGACACTAATGCACTTCTCAATAATTATTAAATAAAAAACTTGAAGTAATAAGAGTGCTTGTTGTTTATTAAAATCATGATGAAATTTTGACAAGGCTTCAATATTCTCATGGAATCAAAGATTTCATGTGCTTGACTAACGCACCAATCCCCTTGTATTTAAACTTAAACAAAGACAAAGAAGTTCTTTGATTATTGGGAGTGATATGGAATGAGATGAATTATAGAACCCACATCCAATGAGAAAATTTAGTCAATATCAATTCAAGCTTAGCATAGAAGGCTAGATGGGTTCAACTATTTGATAATTTTGCTTAGATTTAACATGACGCGTCTCTAAATTGTTATTTTCTTAAAAAAAATGGACATAAGTTTAAAATTTTAACTAATAGCTCATGTATTATTATTATTTTTGTTATTTTGACCCCCAATTAATGAACTAAGGTAAAAGGGCAATTTTGTAATGTGACACCGCTCACCTACCACATCTCACCTACCGCTCACCTACCGGCCACCTACCGGCCACCTACCACCCACCTACCTCCCACCTACCACTCTCTTGCTTCTATAAATAGAGAGGGTGTGAGGCAAGGGAAGAAATCTTAAGGGTGTGAGGCTTAGGAGAGCAAGGGAGAAGAGATCTTAAGCTACCACAAAGGAGGAGAGAATAGCTAGAGAGGAGGAGAGCATCTTGAGGCCTTGTATCAAGGTGTCGCTTGAGAGGGAGGTCGTAGAAGGAAGATGAGGGCTCATCTCTATGTATAAGCTATGTATTCTCCATTTCTTTTGCCTTAGTGAAATATTTGATTGATTCCCTCCCGTGGACGTAGATCCAGTTAGATCGAACCACGTAAATCGATCTGTGTTTGCTTGTGTTCTTTTTCGTCTCATTTTCTATGCCAGGAAGTACATATCTCACAACAATTTTTAATAATAAATAATTAGTAGAATCTTTAACAAATTTTCTCGAAACACGTTGATTTAAAATATTTTAAAAATTATGTAATATAAATGGTTGAAATGATTTGTGGCAATAGTTTTAAATTCATTTTCTAGGTGTGATTTTTTCATTTTTTAACGTTTAGGTGAATATACACGTGGAATATGTAAGATTTTATACTGAGAATATCTTAATATGTAAATATAAAGAGCTGAGCAAAATATCGCAAAAAAAAAAAAAAAAAAAAAAAAAAAAAAAAAAAAAAAAAAAATAAACTCAAAAAAACAGACATATCACTCATCATTTTCTATTTAATTACACATCTAACATGTGCACTTAAGCTTTTACAAATGTAACATTTATCAATGCTTGAAAGTTGTATTTATCTTTAAAAAAATATTTGAAAATGATTAATTTTCATGTGATATGTAAGATTTGGTTGTATTAATATAAAAATCAAAGTTTATAGCAAGATAAAGAAGAGAGAGGATTTGAAAGCTAATAATCGCAAACTAAATCCATGAGACCGGGCCACTCAACTTTGCAAACAAAATAAATTTCTTATTTCAGCAATTCACGCCAAACAAAACAGCATCATTCAAAAATGGTAAAATTGTGTAACAACAGTCGAATCAATCTATGTGAAACTACGTATGACGTATTCTCTTTGATGTTTGATTCTATTAAAAAAGAATAAAACTGAAGGAGCACAAAAAACTACTTACATACCTTAGATTTTTTTGTTTTTCCAGTCATAAGGTCGCTTTTATTAAACGCAGGCAAAAGCATCCCGCAACTAGAGCAGCAGCTGCCACAAGCGACCATAAATTTAAATGAAACAGTTAAATTAACATGCAAATTATCGCAACATTCATACATATATACAGATCAACAAAAGGCTCTCAAAGTGCCGAACAAAAGAGAACAAATAAAAATTCTTACTTGCAATAAATATCGGGCAAAGATTTCTGGTATACCTCGCAGTGGCTGCACCATTGGGTTGCAAATTCATCCCTGCAAATTCAATCAAACAACTATCAACAAAGGAATCAATCATATTATTTTGAATAAGTTGACGCATTACATTCTTGATTGGAAGCGTCAAAGATCTCTTTGGGAACGTTGCAGGCCAAAAGAACCGAAGAAAAACCTTTATAAATTGTGCAACAATTGTGTTAGCGGTGATGAGATTTTCACGGGAAAAGTTAAGATAACTAATTTAGGGAAGGATTTAACCTAAATAAAGCAACAAAATTGATTAACCCGGAGGAGAGACTTTTGGGCCATCAAAAGAGGACAAATATAGGCGGTAATATTTATAAAAACATAATTTTGATTTATATTTTTTAGAAATAAAGTATTTACGCTATATTACTATTCTTAGTTTTTACTGTCCAATCTTGTTAAGAAATATTGTTTTGTTAGATAAGATTGATATTTCTATATATAAATGTTATAATATATTAAATTGAATTATATATTCTATTATTTTCTTTTAAGAGATCCTGTTATCCTATCTTTGATAGTTTATATTATAATCAAATAACATAAAAATTCAATATTGGGAGACACATATTACATATTTTAATAAATAAAGCAAAAATTAAGGAAGACATTCAAAATAATTAAAATTTGGATATTTTGGAAAATATTCTAAATAATAATATAAGTCCAACAGTCTTTGCTATTTAATAATAAAAATTAAGGAAATAGAATTGCTAAGCCAGATTAGGAAAGGGAATGGTGTTGATTAGGCCTTAATCATATCAGTCATCTTCTCCAATGCGACTATCCATCCATTACTTAATTAAAAGATGATTACATTAAGACGCCTCTTAACTAAATTTACATATGTAATCAAGACCTATCACTTTCCTGCCTGATTATTTTGTTAAATATCTCCATCAGTCTTTATCAGAAAAAAAATATTTCATCTAAAATCCAGACGTAATATTTATGCTCTACAACTTTCTATTCGCGGAGAAAGGCCATTCCTCTATATATAAGTAGAGAGAGAGAGAGAGAGAGAGAGAGAGAGAGAGAGAGAGAGAGTCTCCACTAACTAATTATAATATTAAGCATAAAGATTGATTGATATTTATTGGATTTATTTGAATTTAGAAAATAATAATTCCAATTTATTCAACCACATTCATATCAATAATAAAATTGATATAATAATCCATCAAATAAGTATGGTGTAAATTTTTAAATTTTAATTATTTTTTCTCTTCTGATTATATTTAATTTTTATGTAATTATTTACAAATATTTAATTAAATTCTTTATCATACAACCAGTTATTAGGGGGTGTGTGGATAATTTTAAAAATAAAACTAAAATTTATTTACCACTTGGGTGTTCTTAGTTTTATTAAAATAATAAATAATATCTGTATTTCTGCATGAAATAAATAATAATAATTTTACAAAAATTTTAAATTTCAATGGTGGAGGAGTTTAGGATGTAAAACTTACAAGTTTGCTAATGATTGCTTTACTAACATTTATATGAGAGAATACTATATATGCAGCATCATCATAAATTTATGATGGATTTTTTTTTTAATAAAAATTCATTGTTTTGGTTCATTATGGTTTTGTGACTTTTAAATTTAGGGAAATTCACATGCATATCACACAATTCTTATGTATTTACATGTCATACATCTAAACTCTTACTTTTACATATCATAATTTAGATTTCATTAGCCATAAAACATAAAAAAAAAAATGATTGTATTATATTTAAGAAAACAAATAAATTTATTTTTATTCACTTGTCTGAGCACGAGTTTCATGGAGTCGTAGTTTGTGTTAATAGGCCATGCTCGACTCGAACCAAAATTTGAGCATACTAGAATCAGCATGATTTCACATAAATGGTTATGTGAAATCATTTAATTTTTTATATGTTTATTATGAATCAGCATGATTTCAAAGAAAACAAATAAATCTGAGCACGAGTTTCCTCTCGTGAGATACTTACTTCAGAATCATTTAATTTTTTATAGTTTATTTTCTTCATTAACTTTATAATTTCGTTATGAGAACTCTTACCAGAAAGCTCAATTTGATTAGTATAAGAAAATCTGCTAATTTTATTATTTTTGTAATTGTTGGATGTCATCAAATCCTTGCCACTTTTGTTAGTGATAATTGTGTGTGAAAAAAGAGAACAAAATCCTTAATTAATAATAAGAAACCAATTAAGAAGAAAAAAATGGTAATTTTTATTACATAAAAGTTATTTAACGTACATGATTTTATATATTTAGGAGACTTTAGCATTATAATAAACGTATAAACTTCAACATAAATATTTTTATATGTTTATTCCTCTAATTTTTTATGCAACTTATCTTATTATCACTTTTTCTTTCATTAAAATTGGTAGTGCAAATCTTACCATACATTATTCTGGTACAAACACTTGTATCTTGAGTCAACGTGACTCTTCTCTATAAATATTTGACAAAAATCTTTAAAAATATTTGTTAATGTACCAATTAAGGTTTCTTCCCATTTATTTGAAATCAAGAACTTGAATACCTTTACAACTTTAATATTTTCTATATAGTTGAGTAACATCAACTTCCATAGAGTTGAACAGCATTCTATAAGAATCAGTACATGATCATCCCATAAGGTAGCCATGGAGGTACAACCTAAGCTAATGAGTATTCCAGCTGACATATAATTTATGTTCACATGACTTCATTGATTGGGCTTTTGGTGCATGGTGCATTTCTCAGTAAAATGTAGCAACTTTGTACCAAAGAATTAAGTAAAAAACTAAAGAGTGTCTTAAACCAGCGACTACTAATTTCCTAATCATAAGAAACTGGAGATAAAGCAGCTGCCAAAAACTAATTAAAAAAGTTTTGCTGCAAAAATTATCAAATAACACACATAAATGTCATCTGTAAACGCCCCAACCTATCGTGCATCATCTTATTATTAAAAAAAAACATAAATTTGCAACAATTCCACACATTCTTATGTATTTACATATATGACACCCTTGGTTTGATATTTATAGTTACAGCACCTTCGCGTGACTCAAATTTGAGTGGTATGCACGTCAATATGAATGTTTTGGTGTTAGATATGTAAATCGCAGTTATAGATGCTTCAGAAATGGATGGGGTGTCGGATGTAAATCCTGCTACCAAACAGTCCCTTAGATTGCTCGTAAATAAATAATTCAAAGCCTCATTTTTACAACAATTAAAATCAGAAAATACAAATCTCCCTAAAGATTATCTTAGCCAGCTGATTATTATCCCACATGCATCATAGAATTAAAAAAAGAAGAAGAGAAGAATAGCGAGAAAGTGGAGAATACTTCTCAGAACTTAGGGGAAGGATAAAGCATCAAATTCAAAGAAATGGGGATCAACTTGGAGACGTCCACTGAGTGGCAAAAGACTTCAGAAGAGATTCTGTCCGAGGGAAGAGAAATAGATGGAAGTCAAAAAAAAATTTTTGCCGTCCTTTTTGCAGTTGAATATATCTGTAATCTATCAAATAATCCATCAATTCAGGCATCATTCTTCATGCAAATTATTCAGGTAAATGAAGACATAAATAACACACCAATAACAAATAAAATAAAATGTGTGACTGTAAGAACCGAATAAAATCTATATCAGTAACATGCTGACATTATCATCCAGCCCAAGAACCTGTGATAGTTCTCAAACAGATAGAGCTGCCACAACATGTAAGTGGATTTGATTAACAGTGAGCTAGTTCTTCTCAGATGTTCACATGATTTCTTCTGCTTCCTCTCCGCCATGCGGTCAGCCTCCATCTTCTTTGATGCATTTGCATGAAAACATGGATATGGTTCGTAACCAAAAACGCTTAGAAGCAGCCGAATCAAGAGAAATGTGAGATTTCCGTTTCTACAGATCCCGTTAGCTTTTCATGAGAAAGTTTAGAGGGGGAATATAAAGAAAATAGTACCTCAAGCGAGACGAAGAATGGAGCTAGCTTCAGCAGACAAAACAGGGGTAGCAGTACGTATGAGTTTCAAACTGGACCGTTTATGCTGCTGCTACTGATGATCTGAGGGATCTTTGATGCTTTACCTCAAAAACTCCATGACCTACGAATTGTCCTACCCAGAAGAACAGCTGGGTAGCCAGAACAACCTGTAGTGAAAATACAGCAATTTGGTTTCTAACAAGCTAACATTGCCAACCTTAGTTAATACAAAAAAAATATATGCATGACATTTTACTAAGAACAACAAGTCAACCCGTAATCAATTGAGTGGTCCTTTGGGAGTTTTGATTTTTGTTTTTGATTCATTTTAGGGGCATTTAAATACATTGCACACAATTCTTATGCATTTAGACTCCTAAAATTCCAAATTTGCACTCATAGCACTCAAATTATTAATATCACATAAAAATAGCACTATTACTCTTTTTAAAAGTGAAATACAAATATTCACATAACTTTAAAGCTTCAACAATAATAATTTTGAGCTAGCTTTTTTCAGGGATTAAATCATACATTTGATAAATCTCACTTTGGACTAATTATTGGGTAAATCCAAAATTCGTTGGATTCATGATTTCTCCCTCGACCCATGAAAATACAATGTCCCAGGATTAAACAAATATATAGTCAAAACAGTTTTCAGGATTTAATCATCTCAATGTTTATTAAGGATCCGTTTGAGGCAGCTTGTGCGTTTTAGGATAAGTTGATTATCCTGATAAGCTAGCAAAACGCACGAATAAAACGGCACGACGGCGTTTTGAAAACACCACCCGCACTTATAACCCTCTGGATTTACAAGATTTACTAAATCCGATTCAACTTGTATGTTAAAATTTATCATGGTGCCTCAGTCTGAAAAAAGTTTCTTTTATCATGCAGCTTGGCTGTTGGGACCATTATTTGGATACTCTGAAATAATTTCATAATTACTCTTTGTTGTTTCTTTCTGGAAGAAAAACTTTTCTATCAGTGGGGTCAATAAAGAGAGCGCCCTGTCACGGACAAATAGTCTTACATTGGCTAGGTGTAGGGCCGAAAAGCAGTATTTAAGTCCTGGGCTGCCCACCACCCTTAAGGGCTCTTTTGGGAGGTGACAAGTGGTATCAGAGCAGATTACTGCCTGCCAGGTGTGTGGACTCTCCATGGTCCAGTGGGACCCTCGGTGGAGCCGATTCGTGATGAGGGCGTCACGTGATCAGCCCGCCACTGAATACAGTGGGATCAATCAAGACGGCGCCCTACTTAGGGCACATCTGATAGAATAATAAAAAAATTTGTCTGCTCATCCGTGGAAATGTGACATCAAATTATCAAAAGCACACCCTATCGTCCTCATTATCTTTCGAGGATGCATACAAGCTACCGCACAATTATTTCTCAGATTTCCAAAACAGATGAACAATTTCATAATCTCAAAACAAATGAAATAATAAAAAAAGATTATAATTATAATCAATTAATACCGACATCTCATTAGAGACAGCAAAGGTGCCGAAATTGTTTCCAATCAGTTACAACATGTGTAAAATAAAGAGCATATAAGAGAAAGAGGGATTTGACCTTCCATGCGAGAGAGAATCCGAGTAAACCTGCAAGGTATTTGCTGCCAAACCAGCAGAGAAGGCAGAGGAGAGCAGCGATTGAGTCGGCATTTCCGTCGAGGGAAAAGTAGAAGGCAGCGTAGAAGAGGGCGATGAAGAAAGAAAAATTGAGATCAATGCCACCAAGGAATAAAAGATGCAGTAATGGAGGAGTCAAATCGAAGAGAATCAAAGAGCTGAAGAAGATTGGCCAGACAAAGAAGATGTGGATCAGAACGTTGACGGAATTGCTGTGGTAAGAACCGTGGAAAGCTCCAGATCAAGCAATCCTTTCCCCATCTTTGGGAGAATAGATTTTAGGTGATCAAACCCTAGTTGATAGAAAAGGGATTATAAATTTTGTTGCACTTACAATTGATAAATCTGTTGACATGGATTTATTATAAATTGATAAGATATATTTATAATTACTTTATTATCAAGCTTAATAATAAAATATTAAGATTAACTAAAATTAAGGATTAAAAATTTTTGAATTTTTCAAAACCAATACTTTGTTTTTTTGCATGGCCTTCTAGCAAATTTTAAAATGAGTTGCATGTATGACGATATCCCAAGTCATAATCAATAGTACCTTCACATCATTTTTACTGAGGACCGTCTAGTATAACTAGAATGTTAGAGGCATCCCCGACCCAAACGGACTATAAGTCCTTTGTGTGTAGCCTTTCCAACTTTGTAGCTAAATCTCCTTTCTCTTATTTCCAGCGATAGCTCTACAATCTTTGGTGAGGATAACCCCCTCTTTGAGCTCGACCTGCTTTAGAGTCATAAGAACTAAAGTTTCTTCCATCTGAATCTACTAGCAAGTTTTAGACTGAGTTGCATGTATGACGATATCCCAAGTCATAACCAGTAGTACCTTCACATCATGAGATTGTGGTACACAGCTGCATCATATGTATATGCCCAAGAAGTCTGTGTGCTTCTCCAACATGACTAGTCCAACATAAATTTTTACTTAGGACCGTCTAGTATAACTAGGATGTTAGATGCATCCTCGACCAAAACGGACTATAAGTCCTTTGTGTGTAGTCTTTCCAATTTTGTAGCTAAATCTCCTTTCTCTTCTTTCCAGCGATAGCTCTACAATCTTTGGCGAGGATAACCCCCACCTCTTTGAGCTCAGCGTGCTATAGAGCCATAAGAACTAAAGTTTCTTCCATCTGAATTTGGGGCTATTGAGACATCCTGGGACAATGCAATTCATGGATTGCTGACAAAGAGTCTCTGATTATGTTAACTACCTTCTCAACTAAGTATACTTTAATCATTTATATTGTCTTGTGGGTCCCATATGCGTAAGCATCACAGCTCCTAATGCTTACGATGATTCACCCTCTGCTCTATAATCTGGTAGAAATGTCGAAAGCATCAGGATTCTCTCTTGAGATGATTTAAATCGATAAATTTCTCAAATAACCAGATTTCATTCAATCAATGTAATCAAGACCCTCTTTATGGAGAGTTTTAAAGGCATCCCTCAAGATATAATTAACAAAAGATAAGATGTTTTGAAAGTATTTTTGGCCCTAGAATAAGCATTTATATGTGGTTCTTTGGTTGCAAGTTGTCTTCGTAACATCCTCTTCACGAAATTTCTCTAAAGTATTTTTGATCTGATCTCGTTTCAGACGTACACTTTGAAGGTTATCCACGCAAAGTTCACTTTATGAAAGTACTCCACATTCCTTTCTCTCATTTGTCTATTGCTCGTCTTATATCCCTTCATTTAGTTTCACTCCTCTTCGAATCGTTCATTTTATACGGGAGGGAGATTTAATCGAATAATAGAATAATACGACAATTGTAAATAGATAAGCTGGCAACTTCTTCAAAAATAAAAGAGAGCAAAATAGGGGACCATGAGCAGCAAGCTTAACCCTAACACAAATGTATCGCAGACAAAGCATCAACAATAGAGAACAAGGAGTGAATGACTTACAAGAGCTTATAATCGAATAAATTTATGAAAATATCCTCCACAAAAGTAGCTAATTCCATTTAGCTATAATCCCAAGACCCACTTGCTAAAGGTTATAATCCAATGAGATATCTTTCAAAGACAGTACCTAATTCCTTTTAGCTATTATAATCCCAAGCCCCGAATCTCATCGGTGATCTAAAGCCTCGATCTTTTGGCGCAATCACACAATCCTTCTTCAAGAGACTCGCTCTAAAGCTCAATGGAGACAACACGAGTGCCATTAAGCTTTTGCCACAAGAAGCAGGTAGGAAAGGATCTGAAAGTTGTATGAGAAACTTTGTTTCTCATTCATCGTCGACTCTTGGTTCAAATTCACCAATTCCTTTCACCTTCATTTCTTCTCCTTGATATTTGTTGTACAGTTCATTCACGTTTTCCAGAAGAGCTAGCCCCCAGCAATCTGAATCCATTGAGTCATCATCCTCGCTTATTGATTCCAATAGCAGCTTTTTCGACAGGCTCTTAAATCTTCACCGCCTCCCCATCCTTCACATTAGGGTACTCTGGCCTGACCGGTGAGTCGTGTGCCCATCGCCCAGTTGAGCGTGCTCTGCAAGTGTTCAATTCGATTCACAAGAACAGAGGCCTTCGACTCTTGGAGCAATTATGCGTTACCTTTTTTCTAACACCTTCCGATTGAGAAATAGACAGAGCCCGTGGGGAGTAAATTAAAGGTTTAATAGGCTTTAGCGTGTCGACTTCTATAAGTAAAAACCCCTAAAAAAGGGAGATAAAATTAGATAATTTTTTTAGCTATTGTAATTTCTAAACAAAATTTATCAAATAAACAATATTCAATAATCAGGTTGTCTTCTAAGTGCATAACATTAAAAATTAATTATTGAAAAAAAAATTAAGCTTAAAAATTGCAGAGTAATCTCAAAAAATTAACCTTTTAAGAATAGTTTCAAATGAAATAAATTTGAATTTAAACAATTTAATTTTCGAGTTGGTGTTTACAAACGTATAAAAATTCAAAAGCATTTTAAATACCAAATAAAAATACAACATAAAGCAATTGAATGATGAAAAAAAATATTAATAATAATTAATAACATACATGCAGCATGATTGATTAAGAAAATTAAAAACTAAATAACCCCATGAAGAAAAAAGTCAGGCAGTCAAACTAAAGAAAAAAATCACTAAAAACTGCAAGCCTTCATTGCTATGATGATCGAATCAACATTTTGGATCATCTGGAGCTCAGCAGAAGAGTCCAGCCATGCTTCGACAGAGATCACATGTTCAGATCTCCGTTCTTATAAACAATCATTAGGTTTGCAAAGCATCAAACAGTGCAACAGATCAAAGTCAAAATTTGCAAATAAAGAAGATCAAGAAATAATAAAAAGTTTTAAAACCACCAAGATTTTTAAGAACTTGTGCAAAATAATTATAAAATTGTTACAAAAAAAAAAAAATTTAAACAGTTATTACCATTATAGATTTCATAATTCTGAAAAAGTGGAACAAAAACTTATAGCAACTAACCAACTCTGAAAGACATAATTTTAGAAAGCTTCCCATCAAACAAATATCTGAATTTTGAAAAAAATAACAATACAGCTATAGCAAAAAATTATAAGTATTCAGGAAAACAGAAATTGCAAGACAATGCACCAAATCTTACAGAAAAAAAAAACACCTCCAAATGCATGTTATTTTGTAGGGTCAATCTCTAAAGCCTCAATTTAAAATGAATTTTAGCTGCCTTAAATTAATAGCCACATAAAAACCCCAGCCAAATAAAATCACAATCAAAGCGTAAATCCAGTAAAATTTATTTAGAAATTGCATCAGATAAACATTATTCCCAACATAATTTCATCAAACTCAATGAGTGCAGATGTCCCTGTCAGTGTTGTCATCATTTGCAAACCCCAATAACATGAGCACAAGCAAATCATTATATGAGCATATAAGCAAATCATTATATGTATAAGTTGTATGTGAAAATTACAAAAAAGAATATCACCAAATAATGATATATTATTGGAAACCTAGAAAAAGAACACTAATTTCACAATTTTAACAGTTAACAGAATACAAGAAGAGGCCAGACCAAGAACAGAAAAAGCAATAGCCCAAAGGCCAATAAGTGCACTTCAAACACTAGTCCTCAACCTCAAGATGGGAGACTAAACACCAAACCATTATGTTGAGGGTAAGCGAGCAAAATCAATAAAATCTAACTACAATAAGTGACAATCTAACATGTGCATCTACCAAATGTATAGTTTATATAAAAATATAAAACAGGAATTAGTACATCTTAAATTTACATAAAAAAAGTAAACAATCACAAATAAAAAAATCCTTAGGAAAAAAAAGAGAAATTGAAAAAAAAAACGAAACATTACAAAACTGTATCATGAAGAAGAACAAGATATATCAATGCTATTGGCTGCCTCAGTGGTAGTGACAATTAAAAGTCATCATCAAACTCTGATAATACGTGCATAAAATTATACATCCTTGGCAGCAACGGAGCTCCATAAAACATAGAAAAATTAACTCAGTCAAGAGCATGTATCAAAAACATTATAGGAATCTTGAAAGAGTCCATCATGGTAGATATTTTAAAAGGGTTAAGAAATTCAGCCATTAATCTTCAAAGATGAAGATTTGTGTCAACATATCATCTAAATCGACAATGCCAGGCAAAAATATACTGGACAAGAAAAGCTTTGGGCTGAATATTAATTAAAATGGGCATTTACATACATAGCACACAATTCTTATGTCACCAACTTTTAAAAGTGAAATACAAAGCACCAAAGAGACATGTATGTAAATATGAAATTTTTGGTATGAGATATGTAAATACAAAAAAAATTGGGTGCTATGTATGTAAATTTCCCTGATTAAAAATAATCACAAACTTGACCAAATTCCACAAACTTACTCCAAGTGTTGACTTTCTTAGTGCTAACGTATAGGAACAACATTGAAAGTGAAAAACCACAATTTGAGGGTAAGGCAAAACAAAAAAACACTGCTAGCAAAAAGAGCATAAACTTGATAGAAAGAATTGTTTATGTAGATGTGCGACAATAAAATGATTACTACATTGATAAATATTTACATAATATGAAAGATTTACATACATATCTATCACCTAAACTTTGACTTTTTACATATATGTCACCTTATCTAAGAATGAAAAGGCTTACTTTACTTTTTAAAGGATAAAATAGTGATATGCTCATGTCATATGAAAGAATTGGGTGGTATAAATATAAAAAAGTAAAGTTTAAGTGTTAGATATGTAATTTAGTATAATAAGCTAGTAATAATATAGTTAAATTGGCATGGACATGTACAAAGAAAGTTAAAAACTCATGCAATACTTAACAGGGATGAATGGAGAGTGACACTTAATGCCCAACCAAGTAATAGCGATAAAACGAGACCGATAGACATAATATTTATCACATCTACATAAAAATAAGCCACAAGAAAGCAAATGAAAAATTTGACAAAAAAACGGGGATTCAATAGATTCATGCATCAGAGAGATTCCCAACAGAACGAGTCATCATCCTCCATGGCAGTAGCTATGGGTGCGGATGTCCCTGTCTGGTTTCTCATCACCAGCAATTTAATTGAAGCATTTTTTCTCATGTATTCTCTCCGGAAGAAAAAAAATCAAAACTTGCACCTGGTAAACTACTTCTAAGAAGTTGCGAATACAATTAGCAGCTGGTATTTCGTCGAGCAGTTACGTATCAGAAACCAATTATGAAATAATCTCCCTTCCGCTCAAGCGTCTACATATAACGCCTTAAACGGTATAAAATTCGTAGAATCAATACTCAGTTTAATCTAAAGCATCTCAATCCTAACACCGCGAAGAAAATTTATATAAGACAATGGAATAAAGAATGGGAGCATCGAAGTTTGCACTTTTGCTGCTTGTAGGAACCAAAAATCCAGAACGATGCGTACTGATAATGAACACAAGAAAACTCAATGAGTAGCAAAACAAAACTAGAAAATCAATCTAAGAAGCGCGTGATACCAGCATGGTTAAAGCGATATCGCCAGGGGAAACCCTAAACGGGTCTACCTCTGCTAGAAAGAGGCGGCTTAGGGCTGGAGATTTGATCAAGACGAGATTTTATAGACCGGAGCGATGCTTCGGCCGTTACAGACCCAACCGGTTCGGACCCGAGCCGACAAAAGGGCTTTCAAGCACGTTTTCATCCCTGCATTAGGAAAAATTATTCCATTCGGATCGGACACTGCTGCGACACCGCACGCAGCTTACGTGCGGTGTCCAATCCGAACTGTAAATCACCTGATCTACGATCTTGATGTATTTCGGTCGGCCCTACCGATTTTTTTTTTAACGGAAATAATCCTGACCGTAGATCACCGCGGTCAGGATCGGACACAGCATGCAGAGATGCATGCGGTGTCCGCACGTAATAATCCCTCGCACTTTAGGGTGGGTTAGGGGAGAGTGTCATTTGGAAATTCTCTCTTCCAATCTTCCCCCCTCTCCTTATTTTACACGTAAGATAACTATATGATAGAAATTCTCATTCACGGTTCAACATGTTAAGAGAATTGTCATGAGAATCTGTTAAACTCGGCACCTTCACTGCTCGACGACTCGTCACTTGTCCAAGTGTTAGACTCAACTACTTGATCATTTTGTTAGAGAATTTTTTGAACTCAACCCTCATCTTTTAGCTCTCGCTACTCGGCCCTCACCACTCGGTCGGGAGGGAAGTGATCGGACAAAGCGCATATGACATAATATGAAATGCAACGTCAACAAAGAATATGTGTCATAAATAGCACGTTTGATATAAATTCCAAAATAAACACAAAAAATAATAAAAATAACCGAAAATTCCTAGAAAGCATTACTATTGTTTATTTTGTAATAAATTTCATCTATATAAAACGAAAGAGTAAATACATAAATGGGACTTCTTCCTTCATCACTTGACACCTATTAGAATAGTTAATACAACACATTCTTCACTCTCTTCCTTTCTTTCTACTTTATTGATCACCTTTCCCTCCTCTCTTTTACGATATTTGGTGTGATTCAAAAATAAATCCAAATTCTTCATTCTAAACGGTGCAACGAGTGTGAATCATGTTATAAATAAGAATATGAGCTATACAAGAAAATATAGTGATTGAGAAGTGACTAGCAACATTTAATATAGTGGAGAACTTGTCCAAAAGTACATTCATTCGTTAGCCACCACTAGTCAGCCCCCGCTAGTCGGACCTCAGCAATCGACTCCGGTCAGCCGTCACTCGTCAATCGATCCTCGCCAGTCGGCTCCACCTACCTCATTAGTCGACCCTTGTCATTTGACCCTCACCAATTTGCTCTTGTCAGTCGGGGCCTGAACGCTAGGTCACATGCTTTAGGCCTCCTATACTCGGTTTTTCGCATTTAAACCGGAAAAATAACTCTTCCAATAAAATTTCCCAAAAACATTTTAGGGAAACCCTTGTGTCCAACGGAAGATGAGTCGGGATAGAATGGAGACGGGCAACAAACAAAACCTCAACAACCGAGAAAATCTCTCATAATCTTTTTTTACTATTTTTATTTTATTTCATTGCGTTCATGTTTTTTCAACTTCTTCAGTGTGCATAAAACTTTTTTATGTAATTTAAGAGAATGGAACATCTAATAAATTCATCATTTAGACTCGAGAAATGTGCATTATCTCATACAAACGAACAATGGTAGTTTCATATAATTCTCTTATTTTTTGCGGTTGCCATTCAAAGAGATGAGCGATTCTGGAAACAAATATGTATGACTGAACTCCTCCTTCGCAGTTTAAAGAGCTGAGATTATTCTAAGAACCTGCTAAACTCGAACACTTGTTTATTTGGAGAGAAAACCTTCTATACACATATATATATATATATAACAAACTGATAAATATGTTGCTCTCAACATTTTAGAAAAGAAGTCCAAAAAAATGTATTTAATAACACCTTCAAATAAACTGATATTACCCATTTTTTTGTTATAATAACATCCACACAAATAGCAAATTTTTCTATTCCATTTGCCAAAAAGATCATTGGGCTGATTGAGTACAAGTTATAATAACTTACAATATCATCAACCTCATCACCAAATTACCCGAACCGCAAAAATAGACCATTTTGCATCACCCCAGTCATTAAAACTATTCTTCCTCCTCCAAGTACATATTTATCTCTCTCTCTCTCTCTCTCTCTCTCAATCCTGAACTTCCCCAAGGGTGTAGCGAATGAACCTCCTTACTCTGATATTTTCACCAAGAGCAGCTACTGTTTGCTTCACTAAATCCTTCACCAACAAACTGTCATTTTTGATAAATGTTTGTTCCAGCAGAGCAAGCTCTCCTAACCTCTTAGATATCCTTCCTTCAACTATCTTCTCTCTTATCACCTCAGGTTTAGACTGCAAATCTTCTCGTTGCATCTCTACTTCTCTCTCCCTGTTCACAAGGCTTTCAGGTATATCCTCCACTGAAACAAACTCTACCTGTGGGCACGCCACCACCTGCATTGCCAGGTCATCAACCAGCTCAATGAACTTCTCATTCCGCCCGACAAAGTCCGTCTCACTGTTAACTTCAATCAAGCAACCAATGCGAGAGTCATGGACATAAGACGAAATCCGGCCTTCTGCAGCCAGTCTGGAAGATTTTTTATCAGCAGATGAAAGACCCTTTTTGCGAAGATACTCCTGAGCCCTCTCGAGGTTGCCGCCAGTTTCTGAAAGAGCTTTCTTGCAGTCCATCATGCCGGCACCAGTTTCCTCGCGAAGTTGCTTGACCAGCGCCGCTGATATGACGGCAGTAGGCGGTCTAACAAATTACATTTAAGCAACATAAATGTCAGCAGGCATCTAATCATTAGAATCGTAATAAGCAAATAAATTTACTGAAGTTGGTGGGCTTATTATGCAAATCCTTTAAGAGCATTTCGGAAGTCGGAGATGGAAGAATAACAACATCAATATGAACAATAAACTTACTTCTCAAGACGAGTTTCCTTTGCTGCAGAAGACTGATCTTGCAGTACTGATGATGAAGGTTTTGCTGCAGTTTGAGCAGCAACTTCAGCAGCGAAATTCTGACTCTTCTTTTCCAAACCTTCACCGAGATTGTATCGAACAAATCTCTTCACTTTGATATTTTCTCCAAGTGTGGCAATTGTCTGCTTCACCCAATCCTTGACAACCAGCTTATCATTCTTAATATAAGGTTGCTCAAGCAATGCAAACTCTGCAAGCCTCTTTTTAATACGACCATCAACAATTTTTGATCTTATCTGCTCTGGTTTCGCCATTAGATCCTCCTTCTGCATTTCTATTTCTCTTTCCTTGTTCACGATTTCATCAGGGATGTCTTCGGGTACCAAGCAGCGAACTTGAGGACAAGCGGCAACTTGCATTGCGAGGTCTTCGACTAGTTGCTGGAATATCTCCCCTCGAGAAACAAAATCTGTTTCACAATTCACCTCTACTAGGACTCCGATTCGGTTGTCATGAACGTAAGATCCTATTCTTCCTTCTGCAGTGGATCTGCTAGCCTTGTTATCTGCAGTAGCTAATCCTTTCTTCCTGAGAAATTCCTGAGCTTTAACAATGTCACCATCAGTTGCTGCAAGAGCCTTCTTGCAATCCATCATACCAGCTCCAGTTTCTTCCCGCAATTGCTTCACAACAGAAGGGGATATTGTTGCTGCATTTCATTCTTCAAATAAGAACAAAATAGCAATATCGGTGTGAAGAAATTTCTACTGATCAGTCTAAAAAGCGTAAAAAACCCCTTTTCAACGAGAAATAAAAAACTATTCAATCTTGATTATGAAAAAAAGAGGTGCAGTTAAGTTTCAAACGATTTTAAAAAGAATATATGAAGATTTAGAATATGCTAGATTTTATTATTTGGAGTCTAACTGTGTCAATCAATTGGTCACTCAAAGCCCTCAATTTCACTAATCAAGCTTGACGGAGAGTTTGGGCACCATACACAATGTCTCCGCGCCCGATATGAATTCAAAACACAAGAGCACGACACTGCAGTGCCCGGAGGGGTGCGCCGCAACAACCAATCCAAATTCCACAACAAAGAGCGTGACACCGCAACGCCAGTTGGAAAGTCGTAGCGCTATATCGCGGCACCTTGGCACCCGTAATCAATTTTTAGGAAGTTCCTACATATTACGTCATATTTATCTACAAGAGTAAGGTTGGATTTCGAATCTTCTCTTGTGCAAAGAAGAGAATGAGTGCCTTGAAGTGTTTCAAAGTTTGAACAGGCTTGAGTGTGGTGTATTTTGTATGATTATCCTTATTTTCTTTATAATGGATTTCTTTGTATGGTATAGCTCCATGGTTTTTTCCATATTAAATCTGTGTTTTTTTATTATGTACGCTTATGTTCAAAGTTTTGCATCTCTCGAATCGATTTCCACATTATTTCTTCACATCTCCCCCAACATTAGAGTCACAAGTTATAAATGAATTTTATTCAAAACTTCATCTTATAAACACGATGAAATAATGCCCTCTGATGCCCCCTAGAATGTGCGCGTGCATATATGTGTAATTATTTTAATTTCAATATTCAGAGACGGCGCCAAATACTTGATCCGACCCGTAATTACACAGATATTTAATTTTATGATAAAAAACTTGACCCAGTTTAATTATAGCGGCTAGTATGTAAAATAAATATGTTGTAGATTTTAGAATTTAATTGATAGTTCACATACTAAGGGTACTACGCAATTGCACGTATCGATTCAAGTAGTATAGGGTTTTCTTTTAAGACCAGAATGTCGATCCCACAGAGAAACGAGGTAAGAATCCCATAGGCTAATTTTAGTCTACTACTGTCAAGCTTAAGTTTGGAGTGACGATTAAGGGTGTTTTTCAAATAACGACTCCTAAATACAAACCTAAATCTAAAGATACACCTAACTAGAGAAATTAGTTTGGAGAATTTTGAGATGTTAAAAACTACATTTCACATGTGATGACCTAAAAAATGAGTAGGAATGAAATGCTTAGAATTTAATGTGGCCACTGAGAAATAGAAGCAGACCTATTCTACGCCCATCAAAATTTATCTCCCTATTTATTTGCACTGCACTACGGACTACTTTTCATTCACCTAATAATGCAATGTGATTCTTACTAGTTGAGGGATACATAACCCTCTCGGATCATTATGGATTCACAATAAGTTTTAACATGTCAATTGGTCAAATCGAATATGTAAATTAAGCATGAAGTAATGAATTATCACAAGCATGAAATAAGATAAGTTTTAAGCAAATATAAATTCATGAACATGCATTTAATTCATTGCAAAAGAAAATAAAATGAAGATAATGACATAAGCAACAAAAAAATTGATAGAATTATATAATAAATTGTGTGTCGAAAAAGAACATATGTTTAACTACCCTCTCCCGAGTGTATAGGTACGCTTAGTACTATATTAGTTTCACACAACTAGTTGTGACTTAGAAGCTCTTCATATAAATAAATTATGAATTATATTTCCTTAAAAGTTGCATTGCTGCCTAAACTACTTTACTGGCCACCAATCTAATTGAAATTGAAAACAGAAAATGTCGCCGACCTTCAATCTTATTAGAGTGCGTCATATAGGTGGTGAATCTAAACCAACTTCACCATCGCTGGTTGTTACTTCCCCGGAGATTTTAAGAGCCGCTCCATTATATACCAGTTACTACTTCAATATAACCAATACAGGCGACCGATATTTTACTTAACTAATCTCAGACCAAAAAGACCCCAATAACAAAGCCTAGCTCCACTCTCTACTTAGATTGAGGACCCTAGGAGGATAATCCTTTAATATCACTTTCTATATAGCGTTACATGAAGTGGACTAGCAAATTCAACGAAGTTTTTTTCTAACCGCTTAATTTTGGCAACAAAATAAAAGTGTGTATCCAAGAATTTAAAATCTCATATATCAGGATGTTTGCAGAGAGAAAGTTTAGGAATTTATACTCCATCTAAGGGATTTTATCTCAAACAAACTAATAATGCTCCTCATCATATATAATAATTACCAATGCACTTACAAAGATAGATTAAGTTTATGCGGCATCCCGAAAAGCATCCTATGCCCCAAGGTCCTATACTACTAAGCAATATGCAATCTCATCAAATCAAAATATCACCTCAATATCATCTGAATTTGAAACTTACAAGATACCTCTAAAATATACATATTGCATGCCAAGATGAATTGATATCAAACATTCACTTGTCACTAAATCTGTATACCTACAAAGTGGATTTTGATCAGATCTAAATGATAGAATTATGCATTGTCGCATGGGGTAGCCTGTGTAACACAAGCATATCCATTTGATCACTTTTAGAAGCCTCTTCCTCTACTTATGTCTCGGTTTAATCTACGACCCTTCTTGTACTCAAGAAGCTAAACCATTTTTTTCTTCCCAAAGTTGTGATGGTTCACTGAAGATATTGTGTCCAACACATCATCACTATTGAATGTTAAACTCTACAACAACAACAACAACAACAACAAAGCCTTAATCCCACTACGTGGGGTCGGCTACATGAATCTTTTTTCTCCATTGCATCCTATTTAGTGTCATATTTTCATTTAGTTCTAGTAAATTAAGATCATTTTTAATACAATAAGCCCAAGTCTTCCTAGGTCTACCTCTGCCTTTCTTAACACAAGTCGAATCTAAAACATCTACTCTCCTAATCGGATCATTAGATGGTCAACGTTTAATGTGACCAAACCATCTAAGACGACTTTCTCTAATTTGTCCGTCACAAGAGCTACACCAACCCTATCACGAATATATTCATTTCACATTTTGTCTCTAAGTGTAAAGCCACTCATCCACCTAATCATTCTCATCTCGGCAACACTTAACTTATTATTATGCTTCTCTTTTAAAGGCCAACATTAAGTTTCACCACCGTCTTATAAAATTTTCCTTTCAGTTTTAGCGGTACTTTTTTATCACACAAAAGGCCCGAAGCATTCCTCCACTTCAACCAACCAACTTGAATTCTACTCTTAACATCCCCATCTATATCACCATCGCTTTGGACAACGGACCCAAGATATCTAAATCGTTCACACCTTTTAATAATTTGATCACCCAAAGTCACACTTCTGTCACTAGAGCTATTACTACTAAAATTACATTCCAAGTGTTCAGTTTTGGTTCTACTTAAACGAAGGCCTTTAGACTCCAATGTAGACCTCCATAATTCAAGTTTTTCCTGGGCTTTTTCTCTCGTTTTATCCACGAGAAGAATATCATCAGCAAAAAGCATACACCAAGGTACATCCTCTTGTAGATGTCCAGTAAGACCATCCATAACTAAAGCAAAAAGATATGGGCTTAAAGCCGATTCCTGATGTAATCAAATAGAAATAGGAAAATATTTCGTCAATCCTCCTTCAGCTTGAACAAAAGTAACAGCTCTAGTATATATATCTTTAATGACTTGAATATAAGTCATATCAACACATTTCTTCTCGAGAACTCTCCAAAGGATATCTCTTGGAACCTTATCGTAAGCTTTTTCTAAATCAATAAAAATCAAATGTAGATTCTCCTTATAATCTCTGAACTTCTCCATCAAACCTCTCAATAAATGTATAGCTTCCATAGTAGACTTGCCCGGCATAAATCCAAATTGATTATGAGAAATTTTTGTGATGCGTCTTAACCTATGTTCAATTACCCTCTCCCATAATTTTAAAGTATGACACATCAACTTAATTCCTCTATAATTTGCACACTCTTGTGCATCCCTTTATTCTTTAAAATGGGGACCAAAATACTCTTCCTCCACTCCTCAGGCATCTTTTTAGTTTTTAAAATAATATTAAAGAGTTTAGTAAGCCAAGAAACTCCCAAATCTCCCAAATATTTCCACACTTCAATTGGGATATCATCAGGTCCTATAGACTTTCCACCCTTGGTTTTCTTTAAAGCCTCCTCAACTTCTTTATAAACATTACAGAATATAAAATCCACTTACTTGATTTGTCATCAAAACGACCAAAGCACTCTTAAAAACCTTAAAAACATTAGCATCACCAAAGAATATATATAATGCGTGCTAAGAGCATTTAAGACATTAGATTCATCCTTAGATTTAGTGCAAATTTGACTCCAATCAATAAAATATTCATATCAATGTGCCCTCAATTTCATAGTTCTAAAACCTTTGATCTTGTATAAAAGTGTCTCTAGTGTTAATGCAACCCGTCAAAAACTTGAACACACGTAAACAATGTCTCCATATCATAACGCATGTGACTGAAATAAGCTACGTCTAGAATACATAGCCTTCTGCATCTATTACCATTAGTCACTGAAAGAACATCTTTAGAATCAGACCAATTTGCAACTACATTTGCATTCGTTAACTTCACCTAATAGTTGTCATTTGTTGCTTGCTTTTTCCTCCCTTAAAACGAAGCAAATTTCTCTATATGCGCCTTCTCTTCATACAAAAAAAAGCCACAACCTCTTCAAAATTGCCACAAGACTTCTACCCAAATAGAAGAGGAACCTTCTTCAAATAATCTCTCCTTGAATGACAACTAGTTTATTTATCATCTCTCACGAGCTTAATAATCACCCCTTTTGAAAGAAAAAAATATTTTCATTCAAGTTAATTGTATCACATTTATATAAAGCAGATGTCCTGAAAGTGCTTGCAAGGAGGTAAAAGGTGGAATAATAAAATTACACGATCCTTCCCCTCAACGATCAAATTAATATTCAGCAAATCTTGAATTATGGCATAGAACTCATTCAAACATGATTTGATTGAGGCGGCTTCTTGCATGAGAAATATAATACATTCTTGTCGTAAAATTTTTTAAACATGTTTTGGTCATGTACAAAAATTTCAATTAAAGCCACAGCTCATTAGCAATTATTTTCTCCAAAATATCTATCAAACCTCATTGCCAAGCATAACTGAATCACCAAAAGATGCTTGCTATTCATCCATCCTTACCATGTCTTCTTCACACATCATCGCAAGCACGCTAATACCTCATGAGTATTTTCATGAATTCCATGAATCTAAGCCTTTTTAAAGCCCAAAGCTTTTTGAACCATCAAATTTCTCTCTCTAACATCATGGCTTTCATACTACTTATCGTCTTTACTTTGATGCCAAAAACTAGAAATTAAGAGTATCATAAATTTAATTTGCTAAAGCACCAACCTCAAAAGCAAATATAATAAACCACAAAACAACTGCAAAGAGAAGAAAAAGTCGTCGAACGATTTTCCCAATATTGACCATATGGAAGGTTGTTGATTATGAAGCTCGGCGCTGACTCTCACTGACCTCTATTGGCTTCAGCCTATGGTGTTGAATTTCAACAAATCTCATCACCGAAAGTTGGAGCTTCCTAGGAGAAATTTTAAGAACTGTTTTGTCATCCACCTGCCATCACCTCAACATAGGCAACACTTAAGATGAAGCTTTCACATGATTAGTCTCCAACAGACTCGACAGGAACCCAACCCCGGCGATAAAGCCTTGCTGTCATCCTTGCTACGATTGAGAGCACATGAAGGATTGCAATTATGAGCTACTCTGACATAGTTACAGATTGCAAACTAGCAACTCAAAAGAAATAGATTTTTCAAATAGTATGGTGGCCTGGTTTTGGCAAACTAATAATGAGGAATATCCAGGAAATCAGTCTCATAATTCCAAAGATTTGAAGAAAGAAAAATAAAAAATTTGAAGTCCAAATCATCCCAAAATTAATAGGCATAAGTAAACTTCAGAAAACCAACAGGCATAGTTGGCCTGACAGTTATTAGTCATACTAAAAGCACAGACAAAGAAGAAATTTCCCTACAGAGCTGAATTAGAATAAACGTAAGCAGCTACTAACCTTTGACTGCGCTTCCCTGATCAGGATTACCAGATTTCTCGACTGAAGTCTCTGGAGTCTCCAAAGTCAAAGCCTCTCTTTTTATGCCGTTTGAGGAAGAGGCTATTTCATTCTCAATTAATGGAGACTCTTCTGTTTCCATTTTACTATTAATTAAGATGACATCCGGCTGTTTGCTAGCAATTTCTTCATGAGCAACTTCTGAAACCAAGATTTCACCACTAGCCTGTTCAGAAAATTCTTCAGATTTGGCAGGCCCCACTTCTGAACGAGCATCACTTTCTTCTGAGAAAGTTATAGCAGAATCATCAGTTTCTTTATCCTCATTTGTTGCAGGGAACTCAACGGTAATGAAATTTTCAGGAGTAAAAAATTCTCTTTTTTGGCTTTCTTCATTAGTTAATCCCTTAGAACATCCCTCATCTTGTGTGACAGATAAGTCACGAACTTCATTTTCCTTCAGTTCAACGGTTATGAAAGTTTCAAGTTCTTTAATTCCATTTTGATTGGCATCTGGATTTTGAAAATTCTCCTCACCTTCTGAAACTGTAATGACAGGAATAGTGCTTCCTTCAACTTCATTAGTTATAGGGATCCCATCAGCCACAGAACTTTCAGCATTTGAAAATCCTACATTCCCATTAACTTCAATAGCTGCTATTTCAAGTTTATCTTTGTAGGTCGGCTGATTGGAAACCACATTTTGTTCTTCTTCATTACTCGATGAGCCATCAGCAACAACAAAACTTTCAGAATTCAAATTCGTAGTACTGCTGATGCTTTCATCATTAGTAAAACCCACCGAAACTAAATCTGCCACTACATCTATTTCAGAGAGCTCGTCAGAAACTAGGTTGGAAGATTCTTTTAGGGTTTCAAAGTTATCCACATCTTCAGTTGAGGTTTTCGGAATAGAACTAGCATCCAGAGGTGATTCACCTGCAAGTTCCACATAACCGCTAATTTGTTCATCTGGAACAGATTCTGAATTATAAGCTTCTTCATGAATCACTTCAGGTCTTGATTTTCCAACGTCAAGCCCCAAATCCGATTCAGAAGAGATACAAACCTTGTCCTCTTCGCTGGATGTAGTGGATTCATTGACCTTCTCTTCAATCACCCGTGAATTTTCCCTCTGTTTTCTTTCTCTCTCATCCAAAAATGCAGCTATGTCCTTGTTTTGACGGAAAGCTAACTCAAAAGGGTTAGTTGCCACATGCACCACACCTTGATTAAGCTGTCTATTTATTGATTCAACATCTTCTTCCTTCTTCATTGTTAGAGTAGCCTGTCCTCTTGAAATGCGCAACACCCGCACCTTAACTTCCTGACCAACTTGCAGAGAAGAGTTACCCGTTAGGTTTCCAAACCCCTCAGATTCCTCAGAGACAGGAAGAAAACCTTCCTCTCCATCTGGTAGTGATACAAAAGCACCTGATCTAATTGTATTTTTCACTGTGCCAACCAAAACTTGGCCTTTCACAAGCTTGGAACTCTTTTGCACCTCATCACGTTTCTGATTAGACCTGACAGAATTTTTCCTCACAGATCTAGGCTTATCACTACTTCCATTAGCAGGAGTTTCCTTTCTCTGCTGTGTCTTAATGGTATCATCACCGTCGCGCATGGTGAGAGATATTCTTCCAGTTTCCTTATTGGCTTCTACTACCTTTACTTTTACCTCTTGTCCTATGGAAACAACAGCTGCAACATCTTTGACAAAATCATCACTTATTCTTGAAACATGAACAAGTCCATCTGTGAATGCTCCAAAGTCTACAAAGGCACCAAATGGTTGAATTGACCTCACTTTCCCAATAAAGGAAGCTCCTGGAATAAGTTCTTCATCCTTCACAGGGGGCATTTCACTCTTTCTCACAGATCTGGGGCGCTTAACTCTGGTGGTGGGGGTAATAGCAGGATTTGATGGAACAGTTTTGCTTGTCTCGACTGAACTTGGTAAGGATCCTTCTGCAACATCATCTCCTTCTTCTGAAACAGCTGGATTTGGATCTTCTACTGTTACATCTGTCCCAACAGCTGATACTGTTTGACTTCTCAATCCATGTCTAGAAGCAAAGCTAATTCTGTAAATCTGAGGCTGATGTAATGATGGTTGAGGAAAATCATATCGTCTGGCATAAAATATCCGCTTTGCATTATGTAAAGCATTATATCTGGTAAATTGTATTATATTCGTTTGCGAAAAGGTAGTTCCAGGGAAAAGATTGATATTTCCTATTGAACAATGGATCACTGGAGACATCCTCAATTTACTGCTCAGTGATTCCCTACTATTTAGATTTTAGAAGCTGGCATTCTTTTTGGCACTGCATAACCGAGATATTTTTTATATGAAGTCAGCAACTTTAAGGAAAAAGAAGCAATTATTTGAAAAACAATTAGTTTCCACATTAAAAGGCAGTTCCAACGGTATATTAAGAAATTGAACATTTCAACTGTAGTTAGAAGTCATAAAATAATAACATAATAGTAGATGAAAATTCCATAGTTGATGAATATATTGTTAAACAAGATAAAACTGAAGAACAAATAGAATAAAATTTACCAAACAAGAAATAAAGGTATCAACTCTCCTGCTCTGATGGTTGTCAGCTACAGATGTCAAAAAAAAAGGAGCAATATCATCTAACTGTTGCAAACAGTGAATCACCTCACGGTTATTTTCTGGAACTTGGTATTCAAAAGCGGAAAAAGCAAGCAAACAAAGAGAAAAGCTAGAGAAGAAAAAAAAATCATGCAAGGAAACCCAGAGTTTGATGACAAATTTCATGTATATCTTTTCTACCTGTATTTTTATCATCATCTGGGAAGATTATTTCAGTTGACCTCATGGGACAACTCAAGATCTTTGCATGCCACTTGATTATTCCTAGAAAATTAAATTAGTTCCACTGTATTTGAAAAAATTCTTCCAGAATAAATTTATATCAAAAATTCATAATATTATATTATAGTGCTTTCATGTTGATTCTGGATGGCAACCCGATAACATCTAATATCTATGTGGAAAGAAGTATGAAAAAAATACATAAGAGAACGTCAATGTTTTAAGTGAATAGGTTGAATGCCTTTTCTTTTGCTTTCATTCCAGGTCTGTACAAGGTCTGTACAATCTATTATAGCCTAATAATACATAATATTCAGCTATGAGAAAAAATATGTACAATTAAGTTACAGAATTTAATTTAGCAATTTTAAGTAAGGAAACTCTTAATTCTGCCCGATTTCAGTTTCTAAATTGATATCCCCCCTCAAATTGATGTTGATTGAAGCATCAATTTGTTAAAAAGGAATTGATAACGCTGCCGAGAAAGAGCCTTGGTAAATATATCAGTTGTTTGAAGATCAGAAGAGATAACAGGAAGAGAAATAACACAATTATCATAAGTTTCTCGAATAGAATGACAATCCACTTCAATATGTTTCGTGCACTAATGAAAGACAGGATTAGTAATAATCTAGATATCACTAGTATTATCTACATAAAGAGAAGTAGACTCAAGTTGAGGAAAACTAAGCTCAGCCAACAAACCCCAAACCCAAATGATCTCAGAACAAGCTGAGGACATAACACGATATTCAGACTCAGTAGAAGAGTTAGACACTTGATCTTGTTTCTTACTCTTCTAAGAAATTAAGGAATTGTCGAGAAACATAAATTAACCAGTAATAGATCGACGTGTATTAGAACAACCAACCCAATCAACATCACTATCAATGGTTAAACGAATAGGAACAAGCCACAATGAGAAATACATTTCAAATACCTAACACTATGTCGAATTACAACTAAATGAAGATATGTAGGTGCCTGCAAAAATTGACTAACTTGTTGCACAACATGAAATATCAGGATGTGTGATGGTTAGATAATTGAGACTCCCAACAAGTTGTCGATACGGAGATAAATTTGATAGAAAGTCACCAATTTCATTGATATTTAACATTCACTTCCAAAGGAGTATCAACAGGACAACCCTCTTGGAGCCCAGCCAAAGCAATGAGTTCCTTAGTATAGTTATTTCGGTGAAGAAAAATACCAACGGGAGAAGAGTGAACATCAAGTCCTAAGAATTAAGTTAAAAACCATAAATCCTTCATATGAAAAGAACCCTGAAGACGCTTCTGTAACTAAAACGTCAATTGAGTATCAGATCATGTGATGACAATATCATCAACATAGACTAATAACAACACAATTCCCTTGTCAGTTTTGCAAAGAAATAATGAAGAATCATAAAAGAGAAACTAAGAAGATTATTGTGAAATTTCTCAAACCAGACCCATGTAGTTTGTTTCAAACCGTATAGAGACCATTTGAGCTTACACACATCATGTGAGGGTGTAGAAAACAAGCCTAAAGGAGGAGTCATATAGATATCTTCCTTGAGGTTCTCATGCAAAAAAACATTCTTAACATTCATTTGAAGTAAGAACAAGCCTTTAGATGCAACAATAGATAGAACAAGTCGGACAGTTGTCATCTTAGCCATAGGTGCAATAATCTCTCACAATCAATCCCATATTCCTGTCGATTGCCAAGAGCTGCCAATCTTGCCATATATTTATCAAGGGTGCCATCAGATTAGAGTTTAAGAGAATAAACTCATTTACAATCAATGGGTTTAACACCTGCAGGACATAAAACAATGTCCTAAGTGTGATTGTCTTGTAGGGCCTGAAGATCCTCTTGCATAGTTTTTAACCAACAATTTTATTTAGCAGCCTGAGAATAAGATGTAGAAACTATAGTATTAATTAAAATTGCATAATAGACATAAATCCACAATAAGACACTTCAAGGGACTAGGAGGAGAGCTGTCAAGAAAAGTTCATAATATGCTTGAGTGCAAGCCAATGGCGGTGGCACCAGAGCCAACTATCATCTTGATTCCATCAAAATTGATGAAGAAAGCCTTCTGGATCTACAAGAGGTGTTACAAAAACAGACAAAAACAATTGCGAGGTAGGGGAACATATTGAAGAAGGATAAGAGGGACATGCAAATCATTACGTCAGAGAGCAACGATAAGTTAGAAGAAGGTGGGAGGCGATTTAGAGCAGGCTCTCCTCAAGATCCTTACCCTGATTCAGGCCCTCATCCGAAGCTTTTTCTGCAGCTGGTTCTCCACCGGAATTCTTCCTGCAACAGACACTTCTTCGGAGTCTTTTCCTGTATCAAAACTTCCTCCAAAGCTTTTCCAGCCCTCTTCAAGAGCTTTTTTCTGTAGCAGACCCTCTTCCAGAGTTTTTCCTGCAGCAAAGCCTATCTCCAGAGTTTTTCCTTTTTGTTTTCTACAAGTCATACAAGTCAATTTTTTTCTGCAGGTTTTCTACTTCCCTACAAACTCCCCTACAACATCGCCGGTAGGAGTCTTCTGTCTATCAACAAGCACTGCAGAAACTGCAGTCAAAGACAACCGCAGTTGTCTACTTTTCTGCAAACTTTCCTATAGCATTACCTATAGGAGTCTTCCACTCACCTACAGACACTGCACGAACTGCAGTAAAAGACAATCGCAGTTGTCTACTTCCCTGCAAACTCCTCTACAACATTACTTATAGGAGTCCTCCACCTATCTATAGACACTACAGGAACTGCAGTCAAAGACAACCGCAGCACGGGATGAAGATTTCAAGTTCTACTTCATGAGATCTCATTCGCCCACTGTTTAATGTTTTCAATCCAAGTTGAACATAATTTTCAACTATGTTTTAACTTGAGGGAGAATGTTAGAAGTTATATTAGGAAATAATTTATTTCTTTGGGAAATTGTGAGGAATAAATTATTTCCTTACATTATGAGTTATTTCATTTCATATTTTATACTTATTTTCTTAGATTATGAGTAATTTTCTTTCTGATTTTAGGCTTTCCTATTTTAAGGGTTCGTTTGGGGCAGCTTGTGCATTTCATGATAAACTGCTTATTCTGAAACGCGGCCCGCAGGTCAGCTGAAGGGGTCGACCCGCGCCTGCGTTTAGTATAAAAACTCAAACACAATTTCGGATAAGCTGGCGAAACGCACGAACCAAACGGTACGACGCTGTTTTGAAAATGCCGCCCGCGCTTATAAGCTGCCCCAAACAGACCCTAAGTTATTTTCTTTATCTTAAATAATTAATATGAATTAATTATTAAAGATATTAGATGTTATATCTTTTCTTTACATGTTATTTCTTTTTATTGTCTTTTCTATTCTAAAATTCATGTAAGAGTTATTTATATCACCTTTCATATCAATAAAATAATTTTGTTTTATTTTGTATTATTCTGAATTTCAACAATTATATTTATTATCATCCCTTCATTCAATGGCTAAAACTTTTTTGTGGTCATCATGTTTTTTTTTAATTTATTATGATTATTATTATTATAGTTAATATTATTAATATTACTGTCAGCATCATCATCATTATTACTTCTTCATTTTTGGAGCAACTTTTTTAATTACCATCAATGTCAATCTTTAGCCCACATAAGAAAAATTGAGAGTTCATATTAGATTGACAATTAGATGTAAATTTACATAAGATATAATAAAATAAAACTAAATTTAAAACTTGCGAGTGCTAGGACGTTTCCTCAAAGCAACGTGCCATGACCTGGCTGGACAGTGGTGAGTAATAGGGGAGGGTAGTTTAAGATATCATCCTGTAAGACCACAACAAAGAATATTAGTGAAAAGTAAGAAAGGTTGTTCTAGGACATCACACTATAGAGTGACAAACCACAAGTTAATGGATTGTAGAGAAAAGTTAGCAAAAATCAACAAAGTCAAAATCTAGCTATAGATTTTTAACATAAAATTTAGGAATATTGAATGGAAAGACTAGAAATAGTGGGCACAATTGTAAGACAAAAAACAAATAATACTTGTTTACAATAAATTAAATGAAAAGAAGCTAGATTCAAGTATATTGGAGAAGGTTGTAAGTTACGATTTGTTCAAAAGATTTTAACACATTTAAAATTTAAGTTGGATGCTAGTAGTAGATAAACAGTCAAAAAGACAAAACTATGAAGTTTAATACATTAAATGATGAGGAAATGGCTATTAAGAAGATTATTAGTAAGGATACCATAAATGTAGTTAATGCTTATTCTCTTTAAGTTGACTTAAATGGCATATAGGTTCAAATAGGATAGGCAATGAAAAGTTTCATGGAAATTATAAATTAGGAAATACAAATGCAATGAGAAAATTTATAATTGATTCCATAATAGTACATGATCCTAAAATAGCAATAAAAACAATACAAATATTTGGTTACTTACAAAAAAAGAACTCACCAAATCACAACT